TCAGCGTATCCCCGTGGAGCGCATGCTTTAAGGCGTCTCAACGACGCGATAACAATGAGGAAGGCCTTTCAGGGGGGGAGAAGGGAGGGGAGGGGAAGGGGGGTGGCCGATGACATGGTCGAAGAGGAGGGTTTTGAGGTGGGACTTGAAAGAGGCTAAGGAGGGGGCGAGGCGGAGTGACTGGGGGAGGGATGGAATTCCAGAGGTTGGGGGCAGAGTGGCTGAAGGCTCTCCCACCAATGGTGGGGCGGGTGGGTCGGGGGACGTGGAGCAGGCCAGAGCCGGCTGAGCGGAGGGAACCGGCGGGTTGGTAGGGGGTTAGGAGGTTGTAGAGGTAGGGTGGGGCGAGGCCGTGGAGGGCTTTGTAGGTGAGGACCAGGATCTTGAACTGGATCCTCTGAAGGATAAGGAGGTCTAGAGTTCCTATTGGTATTATTAATAATAATAATAATAATCCTTGTATTTGATATAGCGCCTTATCATGTCGTCGAGACATCTCAAAGCGCTTCACAGAGTATACTGGAAAATGAATAGACTGTGGGCGAAACACGGCAGCCAACTGCGCACAGCAGTGTCCCACCAACAGTCATGGATTGAAGTGACCAATTTATTATTTTTTTTTTTTGAAGGAATTATTACCCCCTGGAAAAACAATCCGTCAAATCGACTGACAACTGCGTAGCTACTTACTACTAGGTAAACAGCGGCGAGTGGAGCAAGGAAACTTACCCAACGTTAACACACGCATACACACACGGAGTGAGAGAGAGAGAGACAGAGAGACATTTCAGAGAGACACAGAGAGAGAGAGAGAGAGAGAGACTTATACATAGAAACACCATAGAGAGATATTATATGAATTTACATTGATGCAGGGAGCCTGGCGAGGACTGGAGTGATGGGGGTACTGAGTCCCCAATCTATGGAGCTCACTGACAGCCCCTTTATAATATCCATGAGGAACTGCCTCCTCTTTCCGATCAGCGCTGAGGGTGCTGTTAGCGAGCAGAACCTGCGTTTAACGTCTCGCTCAAAGGACAACGGTGAGGGGGAGGAGGGGCGGGCGGAGGGGAGGGGGGGGGGGTGGGAGAGCGAGAGGGTCGATCATTGACCCTCAGTGTGGACACAACTCTGGCCTCGGGGATTGGTTTTAATGAGCTAATTTATCGTCGCTTGTCAACCGGTTGCTAAGGAAACATTTGTTTAACGGGTACTTTTTCTCAGTGTGCTCGCGACTACTGGAAAGCCAGCTGCTAAGTGTTTAAACAGCAATCACCTTCTGTTATACGGAGAGAGAGAGAGAGAGAGAGAGAGAAAGAAAGAAAGAAAAAGAGATGGGAGGGAGAGACTGGCTTGAAAACTCTAAGCCGGTCAAGTCGCACGTTGCGTTCAACACCGGGGATTTAGCAAACGCCTATTGATCAATGGTCACTTTCCGGTCCGGTTTTTTTAATATTTTTGCTGGCCTTTTTTTTTTTGGACACATCTGGAACACAAACCTTCGAATCGAGCGGGGAGGAGACCGGGAGAAATTATTTCTGCTGTCCGGTGGGGTGGGTGAGCCATTGTCTGGAGGGCATTCGTTTGAGGAGGTTAGCGAACAAATGCAGGAGATGAGGAGGACTTTTTTACTTTGAACACGGAGAATTGTTAGGAAGGGCGCAGTGGTTGATATATATCTAACTGGATGGATGTCCCCGCCCCACCCAAATAATTTGGTCACTGTTTGTGGGACACTGCTGTGCGCAGTGTTTGCCCCCCCACCCCCACCCCGCAAATATACAGTCGATTCGCTTTACAGTACGTTCTGTACAGCGCTTTGAGACGTCTCGACAACGTGACAACTCGTTATATCAGATGCAAGGATTGCTATTATTGTTAGATGTCAAAAGATATTGGCGAAGGCGAGTAAATGCCCTGTTATCTGCGTGCAAGAAGGAAACCAAACTATATCCTCCCTCTCCGTCTCCCCCTTCTCCCCCCACCTCCCACCCTGCTCGCTCCTTGCTGGAAAGTCAATTCAGTGGAAAACACTTGAATGAGAAATTCGATGAATACCGACAAAGTTTTTTTTTTGAACTCCAATCCCTATAAATATTAATAGTGACGCCACATTTGCAAACAACACATCACGGTTAGCACAGTGACATTGCAAAGGGGGAAAGGAATAACAGGACTGTCTGAACGCTGCTATTTTGTACGTGTTCCTAGGTACTTGCGTGGGGGGGGTAGTGGGGGGGGGGGGGGAAGAGATTCCATCTGGGTCTGGATTTACTCTTATTTATGCAGCATTTCGGACCAGTCCAGAATTTGGCCCGTTCTTAAAACGCCAGCCTTCATTTTGAAGCCCGTTTTTCCGTGAGTTTCATGTCAAAACTTGTTCCTCTTTCGTCCAAAATACTCTCCTGGCCTTACTTTTACAATTCCGTTTAAAAATTGTACGCACCTCTATGAGGTCCCCTTTGAGACGTCTCCTTTCAAGACTAGAGTAGATATCAGGATAAATTTACTTTCTTGCCAAACTTTGAAGAAATAGATACCCATCAATGTGGGTTTCTCATTCCCATTCACCTATCCACTTGGTACCTAGCTAATAATAATAATAATAATAATCCTTGCATTTGATATAGAGCCTTATCACGTCTTCGAGACGTCTCAAA